ATTTTGCAACGTGGATGTTGTAAACTTATGAAGCAAAGCAAGCCTATTCGTGTATTATTTATAAAGTTGCATAAGAATATGCAAATGAAAACAGGTGTTTTAACTTTAAAATATCATATAATTTCCGTGTAAATCAGGGAGAAGCCACCACTAATTTGAGCGGAGGAAATTGGGATAGTTCTGTATTTAAAATACAAGAATATTATTGCAATAAGTAATTTTTTATTGCAGAGTTTTAAATTCAGATGTGCTTGTGTAGTGGCCAGGCCACTGCAAGTAGTGGCTGACTCCTCAGGTATCAGAGGAGTTTTGTGTGGCTGTCACAGGGTTAAAGAACAGTTGGGGTTGAAGATGCCTGTGGAGATCATGTTGTCCACCCGGGTGCTAAAAGCAGTGTTGCGTAGAGCAGGTTGCTCAGGATCATGCCAGCCAGGTTTTGAGTATCTCCAAGGACGGAGACTTCACACCCTTTCCGAGAGACCTGTTCTGGTGTTTGACCAACCTCACAGCAAAAAAGCCGCCTTTTTTCTTGTGTTTAAGTGGAATCTCCTGTGTTTCAGTTTGTGCCCGTTGATTGTCTCTTGTCCTGTCTCTGGGCTCACGTTGAGAAGAGCCTGGCTGTTGTCTTTAGTCCCCCCCCGTCAGGTTTTTACACAGATTGATAAGATCCTCCTGAGCTTTTTCTTCTCCAGGCTGAACAGTCCCCAATCTCAGACCCTCCTCCTATGCCAGGTGCTCCAGGCTCTGTCTTTTTCGCGGCCCTTTGCTGCGCTCCCGCCAGTCTGTCCCTGTGTCTCCTAGACCCGGGAGCCCAGAGCCAGGCACAGCATGCCAGGGGCGTCTCGCCAGCGCTGAGCAGAGGGCTGGGTCTCACGGGCTGCCCTGGGATTAAATGCAAGTTTGGTAATTAAAGCTGTGGCTAAAGTTTTCGTATAGATTTTTTGCATGACAGCAGAACCTAGTCCAGATACAGGACAGGGGAAGCAACCCCGGTTGCCTGAAATCCGTCTACCTTTAGAACTGATTTGGTTCAGTGTGGTGTATGTTGCGTGCTTTTGCCACGTGGCTTTGAGTCTTGCGTGCATCACAAAGATCGATTTTCGTCTGTGCTGGGCTTATTTTAATGTGACTTCATTGACTTAGGGAGAATTATTATCCTGGTTTCCACTGGGGTAAGTGACAGCACTCAATAGCAGACGGAGAAGTTGCACCGCTAACACTTGTACCAACAACACCCGGCTGCATTTTACAGGGACAGGCCACGTGCTCTGGGAATAGCACTCAGAAACACACGGGTGTCTCTCTAAATGGTGTGGTGGTGACAGGTCTTTGCTTAAAATCCAGAAAGGTGTTGCAGCCAGCACCTTTTGCTAAGGGTGTTTCCTTCCCTGGAGTTGTTGACTTGCGTATCTTACGCTTTGTCAGAATGGGGAATTATCTTCAGACAAATGGGAGACGGCAGAAGTCTTGGAATGCGGGACTCGGTCTGCTTGATTAGAAACTGAACACGCGTGAACAGTCTCCATCTTGTAGGATCATGCATCCCCAGGATTTTTCATTTTTTTTCCTCACTTTGAAAGGCAAAGGAAGTTCTCTTTTTCTGAATATTTTGCATTTTTTGTTTAGGAAAAAAAAAATCTGAAAAGGAGACAGGCTTAAATTAAGGACTCTTCTTACCGTCAGGTACAACACTGAATGCCCCAAAATGAAGAAAATGAACAAATAGTTTCATACTATTGTACTGCCTTGCAGAGTCAGTGTAAGAAACTACTTGGTGTCACTAACAGTTTGGAAAAATAGGTGGGTGTGCGTGGTGCTCCATGGTGTTTCAAATTAGATTACTTGCAAAAGAATCCTCTCTTTTGCAGCGATCCTGGATAGTTACTGTGCTTTGCAGATTGTATTTCACAAGCTAGAATGAAGTCTTGTTCTGCTTTTCAACTAGGAAATTTAAAAAAATCATACCCTTTGTAACCTGACAGCTTTCTCAATCGCATTATGCACTGTATGCTGTATGATACATACCGATTTCAATACATTTGTCAGGCAAAAAGAGGAAATAGTGCAGCAGCTGACTGCCTTAGCTGTGGGAGTTCCCTGGTCATGTAATGACTTCTTTGTGATTTACTAGTGGGTTGACAAACCTTTCCATGCTGAGCTAAAACCCTTTGATTATTCCTGTCTTCATAATTACTTGTTTGGGTTGAACTCCTGGTATCATTTATCAGCTTTTGCCTTAGAATATTTCTTAAAATATGCTAATGGAAGTTGATTCTGAAGACATAAAGGCTGGCACTTACTACTATGCAAGGTTCAAATATCCCTTTTTGTGGGGGTGAATGCGGGAACGTGGAAAGCTAATGCCCATTTCATTCGTGAGTACTGCGCACTGACTGTTGTAGAAGTCCTACTTTTCCTGGGAAGCTTTCTGCTATTTCTCTTATGATTGGCGTGGCGGTTCATTGGCGTTTTGAAAGCGAAGTCAGAAATTCTGTGCAGTGATGAAAATAGTATGTCATGCTTTTTACTTCCGTAGTCTGGCCGTTCACAAAGCCTGCGTGGTAGACTTCCCACTGATGCTCTGAAGAGGGTGAAGAATCTGGGTGGCCTAAAACAATTTAATGCTTTTTGGGGACCTCATCTTTTGTGCCTGCAAATTCCAGTGGCTGAGCGTCTCCCTAGTATGGCTTTCCTCTTGAGACTGCCTGTCTGAGGGTGGCGAAGTAGATGTTTCAGTGGGTCTGAAGACAAAATGGGGTCAATTCCTACTTGAATGTTGGCGTAGGAGGCTTCTCTTGAGCCTGCCTAAAATTCATTTAGTTTCCCTGAGACCCCACTGTGGTGCAGGGGTGAAGCTGCAAGGATGTGCCCCGGTTGTCCTTGCTACGTCAACCAGCCCTCCATCTCATGGCACAGATGGCAAGAAGGTTTTCTACAAGCTTTCATCACCTTAGTATGCTGCTGGTGGAGTAACGCTAGACATGGAGTGTGCTATTTGAATATGCCACCAGATTTCAAGTCGGCCCTTGTCTCTACCGGGCAGGTTTTTGAATCGAGACTCTGGTCTGTCTAGTAAACGTTGCTGCAGTTGTCACGGGGGGGGGAAGTAGGCTAATGTAATTATTCTAGCAATTTTATTGTGAAGATAAATTTCATTTTTCACTCATTTTCTCTCCACTGTGCTGCAATGCTAAGAAAAGCATTGGAAGATTACAGCGTAAAGAAGTGTTACTGGTCCTCTGCGTCACCTTTCTGATGTGGTCTTCACAGGAACTTAGACCTTGTTCCTTCAACGTGTCATGGCACCAGCACCTCTCTGTGCTGCAGGCAAAATCTGAACTTCCTACACTGGTTGTCGTATTAAACATTTGGAAGGGTATTTACAGAAAACTCTCAGAAAATAGGAAGAAAGTTGTTGGCTTCATCTGAAGATTATGAAACATTTTCACTCTCATGCATAGGCGTCCTCTGATAGCAAGGTACGGGATTCAGTCTCGCTGTCTTTGTTGCTTTAATGGGAAGAACGTCTGTTCGTGCCTGTTACTTCCAATAGCTGGAATTCTCTGTGTCCAGCATTCCCCCTTTGCAAGACTATCTGCTGCTTGCCATTTCCCATTAGTGGTGCACACAGAGGCTGTACAGGAGATTGAAAACTTTCCTGTTATTTGCTTTGCTAGTACTTTCTTCTTCCAGTGCTGAAGAGAATCAGGCAAGTGAGCTCGTTTTGCTTCATTACAGTTACTTTGTCTTAAGACGGTTTGTACATTACAGGCACTAAAACGGCGATACCCTGTAATCTGTTTCAGAGGTATGTACTGACCATTGGAACGATTATTTTGGGTGCTTGAGTGGGAGGGAGCAGTGTTTTCCTGGAGCCCCTGGTGACAACACGGGACTGCTTTCGAATCGCAGGGGCTGGAGGGAGGAGCTGGTCTGGGGTGTCTGTCCGTGCAGAAGGGTGAGTTCTGTTGGGGTGCATGCTCGCTTGGTAGCTTTGTTCCTGTGTTTGGGACAGGACTGCCAAAAGTGATGGATTGTTCTTCTGAAATCAGTATTGAGAACAAACTGTGGGTAAGTGTGACTTGATTGAAATGGGCGACAGTCACACTGCGGTGGTGCGTGCAGGTTCTCTCTTGAGCCGTGGCGTTCTGCAGCCGCTGCTGCTGCCGTGTTCGTTCCAGTTTCCTGTTAGGATAGCTTGAGCTGTTCCTGGGCTTTGGAGAGATGGATGAGATTCCTGATTGTTTGCACAACAGAAGCATCATAATATAACTTTTGTTTTTGTGATTATTTTTCTGTTTTCATTGTAAATACAGATGGTAGGACAAAATAAAAAGGAGATGTTCCCATTAGGAAGCATGCTGTGGTGCACTTTAAATATTGTGACTGCTAAGGTGTCATTCACCTCTCTGCCCATGTTGATAAAACTGCAACTAGTTACAGATATGCCTGGCCATAACACGGCGTCAGTGCAGACCTGCACAGTGCACCCCTCTGCCCTCTGTTCTGCTGACAAGCGTTGGGTGAACTGCTGTACAGATAGCTTTTTGTGAACAGTATCAACTTCCCTCCCCCAAACTTTTCTTTTTGTCGTGTAAAAATCTTGAAGTGTGCCTACAGTTTGTTAGAAACTAACTTCAGATGTTTGTTCCAAAAAGTGTATTTAATGGATGAAAACTTCCCTCCTCCTCTCTTCGCTTGTCCCACTGCTATATGAAGAAGCAGCAGGTATTGTGGACCTGTTCTGGTATGAAGTCACTTCTACAGACATGAATTGTGTGTGTGTCCCTTTTTTTTTTTTTTTTTTTTTTTTTTTTTTTTTTCTTCAAACTCTCTGAAAGTCAATGTCTGTTACTTACCTGAAACAGTTTTTACAGAATGTGTCTGGTTGCCAGAAGACAGCTTGAAAAAAGAGGTTGCGTGTGTTAAAGCTTGTTTTTGTTACAGGAAGAGTGGTAACGTGACTCTGCGTCTCTCTGCCCATCTCTCTGCCTTTGCAGCGTACCTCTTGTTGATTTGCTAGACAGCACGGAGTTGCCAGAAACTTGTGTTGATGACGCCGTAGGCCATCCAGTTGTTGGCTTGGCAACAGGAGATTCGGAAGAGGCTGTTAGCTGCCCTCATCCTGGCACAAAGGAAACTGCTGCTGAAAAAGCAGACTCTGATCGTAAGCAACCTTACAGATTTTTCCCTGTTATCATGATGTGTGGTGTCAAAGTTAACTGATGAGGCTATGAGGTTGTTTTCTTACAAAAATCCAGGCATGTTTTAGAAAGCTCCCTTAGATTATATACAGAACGACAATTCTACCCACCCCTGGGACAACAAAGTCGGTCAGCTCTCCCCGTTTCAGGTGGAAGCAGCTTATTTCCAAGTACAGAGGTGCAAGGGAAAAGTCACAGTTCTTCGTTGGATCAGACTTTAGCCACATATACAGTGAAGTGCAACCGTCTGAGCAATTAACTCTTGCCGCTTGCTTGTTCACTGTGAAGATGGCCACGTAAATGAGTGCTGTGGTTCGTTACATACAGTCTGTAGCCTTGAAAGTTGCATTGAAGGTTGAACAAGTAGCTTGCCCCGTCCCTGTGCTTTCTTCCACAACTTTAAAACCGTGTAATTCATGTTCAGGAATAATGTAATTTAGAAGTCCGCTCCATAGTGACATGAGGAAGATGATATCTTTTCTGTCTTTTTCAGCGTTTGAAGACGCATTCCTAAAACTGAAGCAGCTGGAGGCAGAGTGCAGCAGCCCCGTGCCAAGTGAGCGTCCCAACGTAAAGATAAATGTACAGGTACTTGGGCTTCCTTCCTCCGGGCGGAGTTGTCGAGGTCTGTGCAGATCATTCTGATAAGTCTGCCACTTACCTTGAGCTGTTTGCAAGATTTTTAAGAATATGAGTGAGTAATATTGGGGGATAGTAAAGGAAATACAAATGCTTTCTTACATACAGATCTGTGTGTGTCAGGGCAGCGAGATAAAGACGGGGGGCAGAGGTGCACGTGCAGGCTGCAGCCTGGTGAAATTTTTCTAAAAATCGATGGGAGCAAAAGGCATAAACGCTTGAAATGTTCCTCATCTGTATCTGTAGCTTGCTAGCTGTACGGTGTCGTGTAGTTCACCCTCCTTTTTGAGGGGGTGAGCTGCTTTCCTGGTGTTTTTCAGTTGCCTTTGGTAACCCTTCCAGAACGTTGTTTTGATGTTTTGGTTTGAGTCGAGCTGGCTGGTCATCCGTCCCTCCTGTTAAGTAGCCTTGTTTTACCTGCTTTCTGAAGTAGGTGCTTGTGCTGTGTGTGTTTATGTAGAGCGGAGTGATGTGCTTGGCTTTAGTGCTCTCCTAAACCCTTTTGAGCCAGTCAGGCCGTGTTTCCACGGGCGGCTGAGCCAAAATATGAGCTTCAGTGCCCTGAGCGGGGCAAGGGCTCTCTTATCCCTTGCTCCTCTTTGCTCTTCCTTCCCCGGCTTCCTTCTCTCCTCTGTCACTTCCAGGAATCGTTGCGTGTTTTGGTGAGCCAATATAGCCTACAAAGTAGCGAACAAAAAATTTTTTTGGCCTTTTTTGTTTTTAACTTTTTGTTAATGTGTTAGGTTTTTTTGGGTTTTGCTTTATTTTGGTTTTGAAGTTGTTAAAGAGTGAGTTAAATAGCTTCATGGAAAGGATCAAAGAAATGCCAGAGTTGCTCCAGTGAAAATAAGTAGTGTTGCTGGAAAGGATGGAGAGGACGGGATCCTCCCTTACAACAGCAGTGAACTTTCATAGATTCACGAGTTATCAGACAGCTGCACCCATGCAGGATGATATTCTTTTTTTTTAATGAGTTTTAAGAAATTTGGAATTTGGATTTCCCTTCCTCTGCTTCCCCCAGTGTTAAAGCTTTAGGTGCTTTATTGCATTTTTGAAAAAGCAGAGAGAGTAAAACACCTGGCAGCGTTATCTCTGATTGTACTACACTCCCTTGCAAGGAGGCCTGAGGATTTATCTAACTTTCAGCGGAGCAGCTATGATTTTTCCTGCTCCCTCAATAGTAAAATGAGCCAGGTGCCAAGAGAGGTGCTCAGCAGTACGTGTTTGGGCTGAGCCCATTCCTGAGCGTTTCCCCCCCACTCCGCGTGCGAGAAGGCTGCTGCGTTGGTGTACTTGGTGCTGTGGGCTGTTTGGCTCCTGTCCCCTTTAAGGACTGTTGTCAGGATGCCTTGGTGAGTGCATGACGGAGATTACCAAGTCTCTAAGAAGATTAGTGAGTAGCCTATAGGTCCTGTTATGCCAAAATGCTGCCTCTGCATAAACTCAAGCAAATAAATGCAGTTTATTTCAGAATATTTTTGCCTGCTGAGCTCCGTTTCAGTTCAGAGAAGGAAAAACGTTTAATTGGTTTAACGGAGAGAACAGAGCAAAAGTGTCTTAGTGGCTTTTAAATTGTGGCTGATACATGGTAAGCAAGGTAAGATTCCTGTAATGAGCTAATCTAACAACCAGCTGCCAATACAGTGCAGTCACCGTTATCCAGCTGCTGTCATGTGAGGTGCCAAGTAACTTTGGATATCAGAGGTTGCAGATACTGGGGTGATAGTAACCTGATTAGAGAGCAAGAGCGTTTGCGTAACGGAGAAAGAAGTTGATATATGGATCAACAGTAGGCCAGTATGATTCTTTATTTCGGTAAAAGAGACTTCAGCTTTCAAGAAGGAAGTGCAGATTGTGTTATGAAAATGTAAGAATAGATCATCAGTGGTTTTCCTCAGGTAGAAAAGATTGAATAAAGTGTTTCAACCCGTGATGTAGCTTACCAAGAGGTCACTTGAGAGTGGTTGTTTAACAAGGTGGACAAACATTGGAGACTGTCTCTGTATATTTGAAATTCTGTATGCTTCAGATTGCAGACATCTACGTTACAGTAGCACCAAATGAGCACACCCAGTTGTGAGTAGAGATGAAGGTTAATGGTTTGGAAATGAGCCCTGAAAAGAGTGACCTAAGAATAACTTTTAAAAACACTTGGTTTCCTGCTTTTGAAGGCTGCTTTAGAGAAAGTACAAACTTCCACTTACCGTGTTTGTTACAAAACGTGCCTGTTGACTCTCCTCCTGCACTGCTGTTCTTCACGTGTTTGTAAAAGAGGTGTTTGTGGCGTTTTCTTCTGACTGAACTGGATGGGACTGCAATATATCCACTCAGACCTGGCGGTGAGCTTAGATCCTGGAGCTTGCGGTTACTTCAGATGAACGCGGTGTTACAGCGTTCTTTCCGAAAGTGGGTGATTACAATTTCAGCACGTGTCATCTCCCTTAAGTTTTGCCAATGCATAAAATAGCTGCCTATGTCGAAACAGCTACAGCACGTAAAAGGTTGAGTAAAATGCACCAGGGCAGAGCATTAGCTTTCCACTTACGAAGGCAGAGCTGCGTCCTGAACTTCGTGACGCTGTCAAATGCCAATGAACTGCTCACTTCAGCTTTGTTAATTAAAAATCTTTAACTATCTTCCATTAGTGGTCAGAGATGGCCTGACAGTCATCTTTATGGCATTCTATACTTGCAATTGATCAATCTTGGTTGATTTATTTGATAGGTAAATATTTATCTAGCTATCAGGGCTCTTTCAAAGAAAAAGAGAAATCTTCTAGAACGAGAACTGGGAAGGGGGGAATGAATAGCTTCATTCTTCACTGCCGCTCCCTGCCAGAATCTGCTGGGATGGAAGAATGCGACTTCGTCCTTTCCCAGCTTTCACTGGCGCAGTGACCAGGTCGGACAAAAGAGAGCAAATAGCTCTTAAATACACTGCAGCTCAGCTTTCATCGGCTGAAGAAAATAGCTCTTAAATCCCCCGCCACTCCGCTTTCATCGGCTGCTAAAGTGAAGTGAACAATGAGAAGTTCACCCTGTTTGCCCGTGTTTGAAGTCTGCTCTAGAGTCAGAAATGCAAGGATGTGTGGGTTTTCTTTTTCTGGATTTGTTGTGATCTGTAGATACATGGAAGTCGCTCCAAAATGTGCCTGTATCGGACTCCATCTCCTGCACAAAGTGTTTTTCAGTGGCACCAGGCACACTGCCCAAAAGCACAAAGGGTTGGGATTGCACGTCCCTCTGTTGCATTTAATCTTTCCTTCCCTTTTCACAGCGCTGCTGTTTTGATTGAAGAATAGAGTACAAGTGTTGTCTAGTACTTTTAAGCAATAAAGATTGGTAAAGAGCTAGAATATTGACAAAACCCAGCAGCTTTACTGTTTTATGTGAACAACTGAAATGTCTTGTAAATTAGACATCCTGAGGCGTTATCAGGTGCCAATGCTTTCAGCTCTTTCCATTAAAAAATCCAGTAAAACACCAATGGTTTTTTTCAAGCACAAAATAGAAAGGATTGAGAAAAGTGTGTCTTTAATACTGATGGAACTATTTCCTTGGTGGTATAGAACTTGGTTACATTAAAATATTTCTTAATAGTACTAAACTTTCCAGACGTTGGGAGTCTAATCGCTAGTAGTCTAGAGTGACGAAATTGAATTGGTCGTTCAGATGGAGGAGGCTGAGGGGAAGTTTAACTACAGAATGGTGCTTAAAGCAGCAGCGCTCTGATGTGTTCAGTTAAAGTGATCAAACTTACTGTGTCACTGGTGCTGGAATAATGCAGCAGAAGTTCTGTGCCGGGACTGTTACATCCCGCATCTGGTTCAGTGGAGTCCCGTGTGAGGGTTTAAGGATTATCACAGTTGGGTACTGCGACTGTACAAATAACATCAGTTTTAATTATTCCAGCCTTTGGGTAATTCCAACAGCTTCTCTAAAATAAAAGCACTTAAATGTTTAATAATGAATTGTTTTGTTAATCTTTATGAATGATGTGAACGCGCATCTCTTACTATCTGCTAGCAACAGCCACTAGTAAGGCTGGGTGTTGGTCCTCATACTGTTTAGTGTTGAGAGTGACCTCTGAAGATTTTGCAAATGCCGGTGTTCAGTGCTGACTGGGGTCAAAATTTTAAAATGGCTTCTCCTTTAGGTAGTCTCCTCAGTTCCTATTTGGATACCCCAAAAGGTGATTTAGAGGGAGATGAGAGGAGGAGATGCTTTTCCCCCTCTCTAAAGACCAGATAACTTGGCAGTTCTCGCTAGTGTTTCCAGTGAACGAAAAAAGCTAGAAGTGGATGGGGAGCTGTGTGGGGGGCGGGCATTTGCCTCCTTTCAGCTTCTGCCCCCTGCGCTCCCTCCGTGCGTTGGGGTCATTCCGTGTGGCCACGCTGCGGTTGGTGCAGGTCGCAGCGTGGCGGGGTTGCGCCCGCGCCAGGGCGCCTTGCGGGGACGCAGCGCTGGAAGAGCCTGCTGCTGGCAGATGGCGAGGAGCGCGGGGTCCGTCTGCCCCTGCCCAGTCATGCCCCCGGCACGAAGGTCACAGGGTTTAGTTGCCACTCAGTTAATTAAATTCTGTCACTAACCAAATACCAATTAGTAGATTGAATGCGTAATTAATGTTTTGTAATTAAAAAATGCAATTCACGTAGTGAAATATACTGTAGTGAAAGGTATCTCATTTTTAATTGTCTTCATTATGTATCCGACTTCCAGTTTGCTCTAATAGAATCAGCAATGGGAGAGGTAGCTAACAGCAAGTTAAACTGTTCTAATCTGTGAGTGGATTTTAAGGTATATATCTTCCCAGTTTGCATTTGAGACTAAATTATCGACTTCTAGCGAGGCCATACTGATGTGATGTGATGTGATGTGATGGCTGCTGTATTGATCTCCTATCAGTAAACTCGGCTGCAAATTCAAGGTCCGCTGCAGTTCTTGCACGCTGTGTTTTTAGCACAGCACTGTGCATCTCCACTTTTAAGCGTTGTGGTTTTTTTACTTTATGTTTTCCTGTGACTTTACAACTGAGTTCCAAAATAAAGGAAAAAATTGCCTTTTTATTTCAGTATAAATCTGCTGACTTTCAGAGCTGTTTTGTTGTTTAGAGATATTAATAAACTTCAGCCCTGACTTTTCCATGTGGGAACTGCTTCTAATAAGGATTTTTTCATGTCTAGGATGAAGTGGTAAAGTTGACAGATAAATGTCTTAACAATGCAGTTGAGAGCCCGGTCACGGCAGCAGCGTGGCTTCCAGAAGATATCAAAAGCAATATCCTGAAGGCCCAGGCAGAGGCAGGGCACAAGGTAAATACTCGTCTGATAAGGACTGTGACATCCTCGAATGTTTTCCCTTCCGTTGCCTGATGTTGGAGAAGGTGCCTTGCAGATAAGGGTGCTCCAAGGGCCGAAGTGCAAGGCAGAGTAAGAGAGCCTTTCAGCCTTCCTTCACAATAATAGCGGTCCAGTACTGGAACGGTTGCCCAAGGAGGAGTCTCCCTCCTTGATGAGACTCAACACGTAGATGGTCAAGGCCCTGAACAAGCCCTGGTTTGAGTGGTTATTGAGCCAGAAGGTTGCCTTCTAACCCAAGAAATTATTCTGTGACTAAGACTATGCTTCTAGCATGTTCAAGTGAATTCTGTAGCAAATAATGTTTTTTTTTATTTGGCTGCATTTTTTTTATTTCTGCACTGAAGTTTTCACATGGAATTGATGTTTTAAGTCCCTGAGCAGTAGATGGACAGCACACTTCCATGCTGCGAGGCAGGTGCTCGGCTCTTTTGTGGATCTCAGAACTGACACAAGATAGAAACAGGTATCAGAAACTTATCTTTGTTCATTTTGTCCTTCAGGTTGTAAGAGAAGACGTGCTGGCAGGTGTCAAGAATTTCAATATTCAGGATGCTGCTGCCAGGTACTGAACAGATTTGGAAGAAACACACAATCTAGTTACCCAAGTACAGCACTGAGAACCTGCGGTTCGGCGTGGTCTTTCGGTGGCTCAGTGATCATTGCATTTTGTCTTGCATAGTGTAGCTTGACCTGCTGACTGTGAAGTGTTTTTAAAATGAAAACCAGCAAGCACTATAGTTGCTAACTTCTATTATATACAAGGTAATCCAGATACTCTTTATTCTCCCGTACTTTAATTTGATCGACATTGTTCCAACAGTGGCTTCAATCACTGTAGTTATTTCTGACCCACAGACAACTTCAGTGTGGGCAGAGGGGATGGGTCTGTTTGCAATAGCTGTTTTCTAGCGGAGTAAAAAAACAGTGTACAAAAACCTGCCACTGGCAGCTGATCACCTGAGAGTGACTGAATCTCACATGACTGCTAGTTCCAGTGGGATTTCAAGGACTGAGAAAGTTACAGAGTTACGACATGTAGTTTCTTGACCATTTGGGAAGATGAGCATGTGTCTGACCTCAAAGAGCCCATGGGGATATTGAATAAAATGTACCTCTAGCAATCTCAGAAAGATTCGTGACGAGCTTTCTGGGGAAGGTTGTACCTGGTTTTTGTTTTGTTTTTTGTTGTTTTGCGCCAGGAACGTTCTCCCGTCCGGTAAAACACAGAGTAGTCCCCCAGCTACCAGTCCAGTATTTCAAGACCCAAGAGAGCTGCTGAATGCAATCCCTGCCTCGGACACCTTTGTTCCGTAAGTGATTCAGGAGAAACGTGTTTCTGGGTGAGGGAACCATGTGGACGTTATCATGAGCAGGCCCGAAAGGGTGAGGACCAGTGGCTGAGTGTTTAGGCTACATCTAGGCAAGCAGGTTTACCGATGCATCTTTAATTACTGTTGCAACAGCTAATCAGCGTAGGCCAGGCCTCGGGGTGAGTATCCTAGCAAGCAGTAAGTGAATCTCTCTCATCTTCTGAAACAACTGAAATATCTGACATCCTGCTGCCCCTGGCTCTGAAGAGGAAGATAAGGGGATGGCGGGGAAGGCTTCGGGCAAGCTAGAAACGTGGGCTGAAGAAACCCCTCTGAGATAGAGGACATTAATACTGTTGGGTCTGTACACAGCTGTAGCTGAAACTGTGAAAGAGAGCAGCGATCTGCAGGGGTAGTTGGAAGGCGTTCACTGCAGCGTACTCATGAACGTCAGTCTTGTCTGCCTCGCGTGAAGCCGGTGTCGAGGCTTTGGGCTGGGCTGTCGGGCAGGCAGCGCTGTTTCATGCTGTCCGGGCAGTGTGCTGATGAGAGCGGTTTCTCCTTGCAGTGATGCGTTCCATGAGGACAACGCTGCCTCCAGCCGTGAGGACCTGCTGATTCCAGCTAACCTGGCTCCCGCTGAGGAGGCTGCTCTTTCCAAGGTATCAACGCCTGCCAGCCTGGAAGGTTTCGTGTCTGTTGCGTTCAGAGCCACTGCTGCCTCCAGGCAAGCGCAGCAGAGCTTGCTGCCTGCCTCTCGTAACTCGGTGAATGCCAGTCCCTGGGGAATGCCAAAAAACACTTTCTGGAGCACACAGGGACGCCATAGGGATCTTTTCAAAGGCCATTTCTGAGTGCCCTTTCAGGTTCTTTGCCTGACACTTGTTTTCCTAAACTGGTTGTTTCCCTCGTGCTGGTGGAGGGCCCCTTGCATCCCAGTGATTTGATGCTCCAGGAGAGAGACTGCAGGGATGAAATTCTGACATAGACAATTCCTATCAAAATAACCACAAAGGGAAAAGTTTAAATTGAAATGTTTGATTGTTGTATTCTGGTTACCTTAAGGATAAGGTAATTTTTAACTGGACTCCATGAAATGCACGTAGCAATTCAGGGGTCTGCTTTCCTTTGTCCCTCTCCAAAAGCAGAGAGGAGTCCAGCATTGGACTGTGCTGTTATTTCAGCAGACTGAGGGGTTAATCTGGATCACTAAAGCACCATGCCCTTTAGCTGTTGTCCCTCTAAACCAGTGTTGTGTAGTTGATCCTACTGAATAATCATCAGTTTCATCTTCCAAGTTGAAATACTCAGCTCAGAGACGTCGCTGACCTCCTTGTCAAATGGCGCAGTACCCCATCTTTGCATAAGGGAACAGGACAGTTTCACAGCTTAGATGGTGATGGCATTGTTTCCAGCACATTGATAAGAAGAAGCGAACAGGCTAGTAAAACAGATCATACGGAAAGATTTGAGGCAGCAGATCTGGTAAACAGTGGTGTTCCTTAAGGACACTGGTCTGTTACTTGGGAAGCCCCTAGAATATTCAGCAGACCTATCTGGTTACTACTGGGAATTCAATTCAAAACTGATTTATTCCATAGAGCACTCCAGATGACCAGGACGTTTCCTTAACATCAGTGACAGAGAATCTAATTGACTTTACAGAAGCCACACTTCGGGTAAATGTATTTTAAAACCAAACTTCTTCCTTTACATGCACAGTGGTTTTTACTCGTAAACTCTCCTCTGGCTTTAGCATCTGTCCTCCGGGCTGGGGTCTGCTGCAGGGGAGTGAAGCGGTGGTTGACCCGGCTCAGTGCATGTGTGCCCCCCCTCCTTCCTGTGCAGGGTGCCCGGCGTGGGGTTGTAGACCCTGCAGCTCTGTAATGGGAGTGGAGGAACCTGAAGAGTTAATTTACATCTGTGCCACCAGGGCCTGTAGTCCTATTTTAGCACACCTGCAAGTGCCAGCCTGCTTCTCGGCTTTTGGGTATATATAATACTTCAGAAATGATACGTAAATATGTATATACACACAAATACATATATGTGTGCATATATAAAATACTTGAAAAATAAACTTTTAACATAAATTAACCCTTTTATATAGATAAAAACATCTCTTACAATCCGTGCTGGCAAAAAAGGAGTTACATTGCACGGACCAAGAAAAAGGGGAAGGAGTAGGGCCTTTAAACTGTTCACAGAAGTGTGCTCTCCGTTAACTTTGTCCCCAAAGCAGAAAAACTGATGGGTTCAGTTGCCTTTTGGAAGGGAGCGCTCTGCTGAAACTGCTGCCAGTGAGTTTCTGGGAGTGAGCGGGCGTTTGGGGTGTGCTGTGCGGGTGCCCTTTGCCTGCTGGTAGGCAGTCACACCGTCTGTAGCTAATCCCTGGCGTGGTTCAAAGACTAGCGATGGGCAAACCTCCGAGATCGTTTGGGGAGGCAATATTGTTTTCAGAACATTCTCAGCCACTTCCAGCCTTTTCTAATGAGCATTTGTTTGTTTTTTGTAGGTGTCTTCCCAGCCTATGATAATGCCGAGGTGGATAGTGCCAGTGAGTTATTTGACCATTCCTTAACAACAACAAAAAAGAAAAAAAGAAAGCTTTTGGCATGATTAAGAAACAGGAGCTTGAGTGAAATAGTAAAATATAATCATTCTTAATAATACAAAAGCCCATAAAATAATGTACCAGACCAAAAATAAAGCAAAATAATTCAACTGGAGTAAATCAAATACCATACTTATCCTGTTAATAGTTAAACTTCATTTTTGCTGTGTTACATGGTGGGCAAATGCCATAAAGTTTCTTTCAGAACTTGCATTTAGTGAAGCCCTCTCTGGAACTTGATGAATCTTCATTTTTACTGTTACAAATAAATTGTATTGAAAGATTAGCTTGCCTTGTCCTGGCAGGTTTTAGTTTCAGTTTCCTGTTTCGTTCTCCCCGATTCAGACCGGACTGATTGCCAATGGGCCTTTGGGAAATGACGTTGCCTTAGCTGTGAAGGCAGTGAAGGGCAGCACGGAGACCCTGCTGTCGTCGTCGGGGTTGCCACCGTCCCAGCAGACATCCGAGGACCTTGCAAGGTAAGGGCCCCTCAGCACTCGCTTCAGAGGTTGGTATGGGGTGGGAGGGAAGTGTGTGCTCTGACTGCTTCCACTGAAATTGTTACACGGTTGGTTAGACACAGTGCCTTGTTTTGCTGTGCTTACAAACTATGGTTCTGTCTCACTTTGTAGCATTTGAAATCTTGTAAATAAATAGAGCAGCTGGTGTGTGTATGTTTTTATACAACATTGTTTGAAGGGTAAGAAAACATTTTTTTTAAATTCAAGCAATTTGAAGTAAAGGAACAAAGCATACAAATTTAGCTGGAGTTAGAGGTAAACCTCTTGTCATTATAAATGCTGTAAAATCAATTCTTTTTAATTATAATGATTTTTTTGGAGGAGTGTATTTACAGGGCCTCACTTTTCTTTCCCTTTTAGCCTGGTTACTGAGGATGCTGCAATAAGAACGAAATGTTTACTCACCACTGAGCTCTAGAAGAAGGAGTTTCTGCACTTGCCACCTTGTAAAAACTCGAGTCTTCTAACGCATCTCCAAGGGACCCTTCCGAAAGACTTGCTTGGGATCAAACTCTCGCTGAATGGGAGTGAAACAGCCCAGCTGGTTTGCTAGGATCCAGGAAGAGACTTCTACGTTTGTTGCAACCTAACTGGAATTGCAGCCTGAACCGTGTTATCATTTCATCATCTCCCTCAGGAGAAGTGAAGTACCACACTGGAGCTAGTTCTGAGCGTGAGGAGCAGAATCTGGTTGTGTTCCACTCGTGTAGGTTTGGTCTTACCCTGTGCTGCCCGTCGAGCGTTGGTAGGGAGCGGTGGCGGTGGCCGTGCAGCCCAGGAGCGCGGCGTCCCTGCCCTCTGAGCAGTGCTGGGAAGATCCGGAGAACTTGCAGGGCCACCTCCTGGCCGTGCTGCCTGCCGTGGCTCACGGCAGCGATGGCCGACGCGTGCAGCCAAGGATGTTTTCTCTTCTGTCTGATTATTCCTTCCGCTTTTCCTTTGTTTTACCAACACACATTCTCCTTTCTGGCCTTAATCCTCTTAATAATCCTTGCACCTCTTGCTACCGGGAAAGAATGAAAATCTAGTCCATCAGTGACCAACTACGCTGGCTGGATCGGAGCTGATCGTTACAACCAGAAGGAAAATCAACCTGCCAAACAGCGTATAGCATTAGCAGGCTACAGCAGAGGTCCCACATTTCGACACTGATGATTTCATTTCCTGTATGACTCCAATACATGCATTTTAGGCTAGAGATATGTATGTTTTAAGTGCTGAAGCCATGAAGGTATAGGTGCATCTTACCTTGGGAACTGCTTATTGGTTAGTTTTGTTGTCAGATAGGACTAGGAAGGAAAAGAATTTTCTTGTTTCTATTCACCGTTTCTGGGTGTTGTTTCCAGGTGCTGTGCTTTGGGAATACTTACCAGGTATGTTAGCAGCAGGAGGGTACAACCAGAGCAGTTCTTCACACCACCTCGAGTCCTGTTCCAAGCGTCATTTAACAGTTGCGTGTGGAACAAAGAATAGAAAGAATAAGATGAAAACAGGAAAAAAAGATTAAAAGCTCCTGTAAGCAGTTGGCTCCTGTGTAGCAGGAAGGTAGGAGCACTTGCCAGAGCACGCTCCCCGGAGCTGGCAGAGGCCGTTTGGTGCCCGGGTGAGGTGCAGGAGACGGTGTGTACAGTGTGAAGAGATCCTTCGAGTCCTGGGCAGCAGGATCCTCGTGTGGACACGTAGAGGTGAGCGCGTGGACCCTGGGGGTAGCCCAGCCTGTGAGACAGGTCAGTGCAGCATCAGGGGGAGGAGGAGCACGGAAGCCCAATGATGAACTCCACCTCTCCTAAGGAGGAAGCGCTGATATGAAACAACTGGGATCTTTCTTAGGAAGGGGTTTGTACATATGACTGGGGTTGGAGGATGTTTTCTGCGTAGTGCTGCTCTTTGTAAATATTCATATACGCGTGGTTCTTGGAAACAGTTTTAAATGTGACAGCTGGTTCTGAAGGCTGTGTGCACAACTTCGTTCCTGCATGCTGGCTGCACGCACATCTCTCGGTGTAGACAAAGATTTGGACCAAACCATTGTGGACTGTGCAGGTAAGCTGGTGCCCAGCTGGGCTGCTCCTTTCAGACTAGGGCTTGCGTACTGCTGCTCTTGTGCCCTTGTTTGCAAGGTGCTGAGTGAGCATGTTCAGGAAGAAGCCACGTGGCATTTCCATGGCCCACCGCCGCTCCTCAAGAACCCACGAATAGAGAAACACAGAAACCACGGGCAGCTCTCAGGACTGGCGCACCGGAGTCGTGCTCTGCAGAGCATGGTTGGCAGCCGTTGCCTTGAGAACTGGCAGCTGCAGTAGCTGTGGGG